ATATATATATAAAAGAGGAAGTTTGTTTATTTTGTTTGCTATAGGAAACCAAACAGTTGAACTTGCAAATTTTAAAATAATTTCATAATAACCAGTTTTTTTACAAGAAATTTAATGGTGCTATTTATTTTATATTTGGTGTAGTATTTAATGACGAAATTGACAATTAATTATTATTGCACCATTTTTTTGTAATAAACATACAACAATATATACACAACAGAAATTAAATGATGAGATGAAAACATGTTATAACGACGCATAGAAAGAACAACAATAAAATGGACCAACAATATTATTGACTATTTGCAAATAGTACCTATGGAGACAAGGTAATAAAATAAAAATCAAGTCGAGAACAACAACAAAATTTTATAAACGAAAACCTCTCGCTGAGCATTGGCTTTTATATTATTTCGCTGTCAATGTTCCCATCTTCATTAAAAGGTGTAAGATGACAAAAACAAGATCTTGAAGAATCTATTCTATCTTCTTCTATATATATAAAAGAGGAAGTTTGTTTATTTTAAAATAACTTCATAATAACCAGTGTTTTACAAGAAATTTAATATTGCTATTTATTTTGTATTTGGTGTAGTATTTATTGACGAAATTGACAATTAATGATTATTTGGCCATTTTTTTATAATAAACATACAAACATAAGCACGTTTTGCACATAGAAAGCATTATGGCAGGAGACACTCAGATCACCTTGCTTTCAATTCAGTATTTCCAAAAACAGTTTTCTTTAAATAGTGCTAAGTGGTTTCATAAGTGATTCAGTAACTTTGTGAATTGCAAATTATTGTTTAGTGATACAGGTGATTATGCCACCCAAGAAACGCCCTTTCTATGGAAAGTCTTCTGCCGCTAAAAGAATGCAAGCACAAAGATCAGCTGAAACAGAAGAAGAACGTAATCAAAGACTTCAAGCACAAGCTGCAAGACAGGCTAGGCTGCTCAAATACAGGAAGAGACTTTGGAACAACGTAAAGTTAGACTTTGAGCTCAAGCTGAAATGCAGGCTACTCAAAGACAGCAAGAAACTGTTGAACAGCACAAAGCCAGAGTTCAGTCAGAATCATCAAGGCAAGCTGGATATAGACAACAAGAAACTTCTGAACAACATCAAACCAGACTTCAAGCACAAACATTAAGACAAGTAACTTAGAGAGAGCAAGAAACAGAGGAGCAACATGATGTACGACTTCAGGCTCAAAAAACAAGACAAGCTCAAACACGATCTAATTTCAAATAAAGCTTTGTTTCATTAAATGCTTTTTTATTTCTCGCATCACAGCTTTTGTCTACTTACTGAATAATTTGCAGAAAAAAATACTGATGTATATATTTCAAATCTAAACTTTCACCATTCAACGCCAGGTAACTCAGCTAGTATTCTATATTCTAGCTTGTCAATATCAGTAATTTGAGTTCCTAATTTGTAAGAAACTATAGATTTTTGTATTTGGACATCATAAACATCTATTCTGAACCAGTGCTGCATTCAACATACTACATGACACACAAAAATAGATATTTAGGATTTTTTTTAAATATTTACTCTTAAATTAATAAATTCACTAATGTATAATACTAAAATTTGATACCAAACTTATTGATATACATTCATAAAATAGTAGTCCAATAAAATTTTGAATGTAAGTCTACAAACGTGATGACATGGCCTTTGACCCATGACCTTAGGAAGACCCATCTCATTAGGCTTAAAATGAGGCTTGTGTTAAAGTTTATTTTCTACAATATTCTCTTGCCACATCCTCCTGAGGTTCAGAAAATTATGATTTAATGTAATAAGCGAGTGCAAACTTTTGTGTTTTATATTTACTTAAGGTACAATACGTGAAGATGGAACATTCCTATTTATTCAGTGGAATGTTCTCTAAAAGATAAAAAAAAGGTTTCAACAAATTAATTTTCATATATTTATTCAATACAATTATCACTTTTAAGGGATAAATCTCTAGTTAGGTCTCACAGGCTAGTACAAATTGAATATTTTTACATTTTAATACTCACCTCCTGAGATTCAAATTTGTGCAAGTATTTTTCCATGTCAAGATCTTGTAGTAGATTTGCAAGGTCATCTACAATATGAAAATAATGTAACAGTTTTAAGGACATATTACTTGAAGAAGAAAAAAAACTTCATAATATTCATATAAAAGTAATTAAATTTAGATGTTACATTTTTTTTTTGACAATGCACATTTTATTGGTCAGATAAAATATTTATGGTCTTGTGTTTAAATTGAATTACAAATTAAAACTCATTAAAACAACGTTAAAATTTACACAATACTTTAAAAACACAATAAAATCACTAAGTCTTATTTAAAGTCTGTGACCCACCATCATTAAGACAGTAGTGAACCCTTCTGTACTATACTGCTTATAGACATTTCTCATTTTTGGCATGATGCAAAACAATCTTTGATCAATCAATTAGCATAAATGGTGCTGCCACCTATTCATTTTTCTTTTCATATTGATTTCTGTAACTCCTGAACCCAAATCTCTATTTAAAATCAACTTTTTAAATATTTCTGTCCTATTAGAATTAGTTTATATTTATCATTCACAAATTTAATCAATTTAGCATTGTTCACCATATGTTAAGTTAATGACAATTCATTAAATGTCCATTTTTCTATAAATAATTGATGTTCATTAAGTCTGAATTTTAAACTTCTACATGTTTGGCCAATATACATTAGTTACAAGAGATTTTATAAATATCAAATTATTCTATCAATGTGATTTTATCTTTAATGGTAGCAGTAAAATGACTAAGTTTCAGTTATGATGAATACATTATACAACAGTTAATATATTTCTTAAAAACATTACCTGTATATGGAGAAACTGAGCATATGACAAACAAATATTTTCTCTCAATCATTGTAACTACAAGTTTAGTACACAGTGAAATTTTTAAAATTTTATACAACTTATTATACGTTCTATCAATGATGTTACAATTAAAATCTGCCAATGGCAATATGTTTCAAGAAATTCATTTCATATGAACTTTTCTTTTATAAACTAATGGTGTCACCCCTATTTTCAAAAAATGTTGTGTAATGTTTTCACCACTGATTAAACTTAAACATTTTACAGCTAGTCTTAAAGATAAAATCACATTAACCCTTTCAAGACGGGTCATAGGTGAAAGGCCATGTCATCTCGTTTGTTGACTCGCATTCAAAATTTTATCAAACTACTATTTCATGAATTTATGTCAATAAGTTTGGTATCAAATTGTAGGTTATAATTCAAATTTTAGAACTATACATTACTCAATTTCTTAATTTAAAATTCGATATTAAAAAAACACAGATAAAGATCAATTTTTGTGTGTCACGTGGTATATTGAATGCAGCACTGGTTCAAGTTAGGTTTTTGTGAAGTCAAAATACTAAGTCTATAGTTTCATACGAATTAGAAAGTCAAATTACAGATATTGAAAAGCTAGAATATAAAATAAGAAGGTCTTATCTTTTCTATTTGCTAAGATATTATTCATGTAATAAGAGAAACACATTGGCACCCTGCCTATCTCTTTCCATTTTTGGAAATGCTCCCTTATATACACTTACTTCTATATATGACATGAATAACCAATCAGAAGGTCAAAATGTCCCCCTAGTGGTTTACTCAGCCTTTCTAATGTGTCTAGTGCCATTTCTTTATTTTGAACCAAAATTTCGATGAGGTAGGTTGTGTCTTTAGTCTTCTCGAAATTTCATGTTTTTTTAAGAGTAAAATAACATATTAGTTACTAAGCTTGATAAATTACAATTGAATTTTATGGTATTGATGTAGTAATTTATGATTTTTTAGTTACTCAAATGTATATGTAAAACTTTACATGTGAGGCGCATCATTGTAACTTCTGTATTGTAAGCCAGGCACGGCTGAAAGGTCAATATTATAAAAATAATGAATATAAATAAATGTATAATGTTACGAGATTTAAGCTATTTTGTCTAAACATTTATGTTTTGTGTTATAATCTGTGTTCATTCTAGAATGAAAAAGGCATAATTTATGTTTATTTCCTAATTTTTTATGGTGGTTGCGAGATCGTTCAAATCTACTGAACCCGTACAGAGATTAATTACTAAAAATAACAGATAAAATATGATGTTTTTTCTTAAGAAACATTTGATAACTATCCGGACATTATAAAGATTTTGCATGTGAAATTTCAAAATTTTCTGATGAATAAAAGTATTTTTAATCTTCAAATTAAAATTACTTTGCATGATAGATAGGCAACATGTGAAAAGAAAAAAAAAGGCATAAGAGAAACATTGCTTTACAAACCTTGCGACTTAATAAAAAAATTTGATATTTTCCATATGAAAGAATTGTAATGTTTACTGATAATCTACCAAATTTCATTAACATTCACTT